GCTGACATAGATTTAATAGTGAAGTCATAGCAACTTTTTTCTTTTGGTAGTTGGATATTTTTTTATATGGGGCCCACATTGTCATCAACAATTTGGCGTCATACCTAGGCCGTGACCCCAGCTGCATCCTGACACATTTTGAGAGTGTTGTGCTAGTGCCTGTGGGGTGGTGAGATCATGAGCGTACATGGTAGGCATAATGTTAGAATTTGCTACTCATATTTAGACCAAGATTAGGGGGTGCAAGAGACTTCTATGATTGTACGGCCTTGTGACTGCAACATTTATTTGAACACAACATGTGTACCATCATCCCTTCATAAAGATGTATACCATAGATTGTCTGTCTATTTTTTCTTTACCTTTTTACTTTCAGTATTTGTACACTTATGTCAGTTTTAGTCAGTCCTTTCATTGGACATATATTTTGGTGAGTCTACGACGGCAGACTTTATTGAGTTTAAACTGAGTTGATAGAAAGTGATAGACGGGAAAGAGACCCAGCGATGGGAGAAAACAAAACGCTGTACTGGAGATAGATGGAACAGGAGGTGGCTTGTGAGAATTACAGGAGGAAAGTGATAAACCTGAGCGTCAAAGATTAATAAAAGAGAGATGACTAAAAGGCATTATAGCCCACATGAGGGAGAGAAAGTGATGATGGCAGAGCTATAGGAAACAAAGCCGCTGTGTCAGACATGATCAAAAGACCCAAAGAGAAACTTGTGAGAGCAGACTCGTGCAGCAAGACAAAACAAAGTCTTGCAGCATAATGGAAGAAGAAGAAGAAAAAAAAGACACATCTCTACAGAAAGAAGATCATGTATTTTCATATGCTCACTGGTTGTTTCCTTTTAATATTCAAAGCTTATATTTACCACTTAGTTTTGCCAGATGCTTTTTGTTTAGTTCCATCTTTTACAATCACAGCTGCACAATCTGTATTGTTTCATCGTACTTTACTTTTAATGGTATACATGACTGAAACAGCTATTTTAAATGTTTTTTTTTCTGATTATTTGAGTTTTTCATGCAGGCTGAACATAAAAAATAGTCTCCTACACCTATCTCCTGCATTAGCTTTTGATAGACGGTCAAAATCTAGGATTTGAAAATCCTCACAGATCTGCGTCACACTGAATTAGCATTCACGGTCTTAAGCTTGGTTTATGCTTGACGCGTCCGCGAGGTTCGCATGGCTCCGTGCGGCAAAATTGCATAATTTTAACAACCACGCCCCTCCACCGCGCCTCTGCATGGGCCAAACTTTCCGCACCGCGCACCTAGGAAATTTTCTAACCACACGGACGGTCGGACGCGGAAAAACATGGCGGACTGGCAAGAACTAGTATGGCAGAGGTTGGTAAATACAGACATTTGTATGATTCAGCTCTCAGAGATCACCGTGATCAACATGTTGTTAATAATTCTTGGAGAGAAATAGCTCGCACTGTCGGAAAAGACGAGGACGCTGTTAAAAAATGCTGAAATGCCATGATGTAAACAACAGTAATTTTTACTTCTACTATGGTGTAGTGTTGGATGCATGCCGTAGAGCTCCATGCTGCCCCCTACAGTTTGGGAGAATATTGGCTCACCGCAGAGACAAGCCGCATGAACCATAAACGCTGCGAGTTGTGAAGTGTGTTCCATCCGCGAGCCGCATCACCAAGCGGAAAGTAAATGCGTCAAGCATAAACCAAGCTTTACCCATCTTGTCTCATGGCGGGGAAGGCTGTTGTTGCGTTAACGTCTGGGAATCAGCAGAGACCGTCTTGGTTAGCGTAAGGTATTTTTTAGCATTAGCAACACCACCAGAAGCTCCTCAAGGCCCTCTGCTTCCCACACTCTCCTCACCGATGACACAGTCCCATGCGTGTTCCAATGTGTAGACCCCATCGTCTCTGTTCATGGTTGTTTGCCCACCTCTCCTTATTTCTACTGCTTCCTTAATCCATCTTTTGTATTTTTGTTAATCTGAGTGTATGATCCTTGTTCTGTCCCAGGCCATTATATGACTTTCCCTTGTTCAGAGGTCTGTTACGGCTGATTTCGTTATTGTACTTTCTTGTTTCACGGCTTTTGTGTGTCTTCGACTTGTTTCTTTCTCACACTCTTTTTACATGTCCTATTATTCGTGTGTTGAGTTGGCGTATGGTTACTCCTATGTATACATAGTAAGCATGCATTGCATAGTTTGCATGGGATTTCATATTTCACTCATATAATGTAATTCTAATGCTCAGCTGTGATGTGGGTTGTTGGGTATTTTTATAATTGTACCTTTTTGAGACCTAAAAGATGCCCATTACACATCATGAATCTCTGTGTAAGGTTGAGAAAGGATGTTAATTGAGAAAACTCTGTATCTCTGTAACTTGAGAAGGTCCGCCTTCTCCCCCATCCATTTGGTGAATAAAGCCCCTGAAGAACTGGGAGCACAGGGGGAGTGACGTGGGGAAGCCTCGGAGGAGGTTTCTCTGCGTTAACTCTCCATGTTCTGGAGACTCAGGGTAAAATGTCTTCCTTGTTGTCATGTGTGTTATTACAGGTTCCAGGGTTATGGAGATTAAATATTACCTAACATTCTAGTCTCCTGATGGAGACCACGGGTATGCAGAGCTGGTGAGGTAAAGGCTGAGGCTGGAGCAGAGTGGGGGCTGGTTGAGCCACACACATGGACATGGGGGCTGGTTGAGTCATGCACATGGACATTACAAATAATCAATTTACTCTCTCTCTATCAAAGGGTGTGTCGTCCTTTAAGGTAATATGGGATAAAATCAAATTACCTAACATGGGTAACTTTTAGGTCTGAGAAACGGTGCACCGGTCTATTTTTCCCCCACAGACAACAACTTGCAAGGCATTCATTCCTACTAGAGGCCACTGCACATGTATTGATTAAACATGTAAACCACTCCTTTAAGAAAATGATAATTTTCTCCTAATTGTCAAACCTAAGTTTCTGTAAAATTTTGTTTGGTTATAATAAAGACAGATAATTTTGGATAATGAAGACACATCCAGACGAGACCTTTCACAATGTATCACTTAACCTGCAAATGTTCAGGGTATTAAAAAAACAAACAAAAAAAAAAAAAACAAAAGCAGGCTAGACATGTTTTTGTGTTGAAAATGCATTAAAATCACAGGATGTGACAAAAGCATGGGATTTCAACAAATGAAATCACACACAAGCAAAACAAAAGAGGAAACAGTGATAAGAAGGGACTTTAATTCTGCAGCAAAAAGTCAAGTTGAATTTGTTAGAAACAGCAAAATATTGGTTTGTGTTCTGCAGAGTTGGGTTATAATAAACAACTGTGTAATCAGCATAAATATGTGAATGTTCAGTAAAAACATGTTGTTCACTTTGCCAAAACATGCATGTGGTCTTAAAGCAGAACCTTGAGGCACACCTTGAGGGTTTTGAACAGGAAGAATAAAGCTCCTCTTAGGAAGAGGGACAACTTCTTTGGTCACTTAAATCTTTAGAGTATATATTTTTTGTTGTATTGTGGTCATTATTTAAACTGGAGCAGAATTCTTATTGTCCTAAACATCTCAGTTTAGTATAAACAAGTAAAAGAGAATTAGACATTATTGTAATTATTTTTCAGTGGTTGTGATAAAAATGTCCAATTAAGGTAAACATGTTTAAAGAAACAAGAAATATACAAAAATCACACAGAATTTGTGTACTCCACATCTGTGGGAGCTGCCTAAAGCAGGAATAGCTCCATATCGTTAGCTAATGAGCAGTTCAGTGGAGTTGAGGTAAGGAAGACAGATTGTTATTGCTTTCCAAATAGCACCGTAACGTTTGCCAGCTGGTTTTCAACCTGTGGATGATTGGGCAATGGTCCAAACTACAGTAATAAAAAAGCCCAATTAAACAAATTTTCCTTTCTTATCCTGTTATCACAGATTTTGCCTTTAGCATTACATTTGGATTTGTTGTAGTGTGTGGAGTTGTGAGTAATTTGAGCAACAGAGTCACAGTATTAATATTTGTAAATGTCACTCATTGTTTTATGCATGCACTTAAATCCTGATTATGCGGCTTTTTTTTTTAAAAAAAAAAAGGTGGAAATTGCTGATCATGGTTTTTGAACCTCTAATCTTTAAACCAACATATCAGCTTGCTGTAAACACCACAGCATGGCTCATAGTCCACTCTTCATCTTCCTTCACTGGGCAGCTGCGGTTCAGAAAGTAGAGCGGGTGGTCCAGTAATCGTAAGGTTGTAGGTTGTATCCCAACGTCTGCTAGAGAATGCCGCTGGAATCCCACTGGTGGTGGTTGGAGGGACCGGTGGTGCCAGTACTCTGCAGCTTCAACTCTGTCAGTGCGCCCCAGGGCAGCTGTGGCTACATTGTCGCTCATCCCCACCAATGTGTGAATGTGTGTGTGTGTGAATGGGTTAATGACTGATTGTGTTGTGAAGCGCCGTGGGGGGTTACAGAACCCTAAGAAGGCGCTGTACAAAAATAGGACATTTACTATTCCTTCTGTAGAATATTCCCCCTCTAATGATGACTGAGGCCTAAAGGTTCTCCAGATGAGGTTGAGATTAGTCTGAACTTATTCTTAAAATTCTCACTGATTCAATAAAGAACAAAAATTAAATCTTCAGCCTTGCAGACGGGTTAGCATGCTAGAACAGTGTGTAGCACTGTTGCCTTGCTGTCTGCAGCCCTTCTGAACAGAGTTAGCATGTTCTCCACATGAATGTGTGGGTTTTCTCCATGTACTCCAGCTCCCTCCCACCAAAAACATGCATTTCAGCATAACTGGAGACTCTAAATTGTTCCTAGGTGTGAGTGGGTGCAGGAACAGTTGTGCACTCTCCCTTGATGACTTCTAGAGTTAGGTACCAGCTACCTGCAGTTTTACTTGGGATTTAAGCAGTTAGGAAAATGAGAAACATGAAGATAATTATCTGGAATTTATGTGCAAATACTTACTTTTTTAAACAATGGTTTCTTTTTCTGCAGTTTCAAGATATTACTTGGGTCAGCTGTACTCAGCCACAGTGTTACCAGAACCTGCCAAACCATCTCTGCTTGTTGACAGACAGGTAGGTTAACACAAACGCACGTACATATTATCTATTCATTTATTTATCCTTGCAGACATGTTTTATTTTATGTGTTCTTATGACTCCGTTTCCTGATATAGCTGATGTGTTTGCATTAGAGTTTTCTAGATTTCAAGTTTTCTTTTTTAGAAGCTGGCATAAGCCCCGTTCTCTCAGTCCAGTCATGGCCTGTCTCCTGATTACGTAGCTACACCACAAACTTTGAGAGCTGCTTCTTTTTGTAGTTTAGCCAAAGAGAACACTTTTTAAAACCCAACCATGACCACTTTGACATGTTTTGGCAGTCCGTGTTGCAACAGAAGCCTGATTTTTGACTTTATGCTTCAGCTAAATGTAATTACCCTAATTTATATAAGTGGTACAGGCCTATTTTATTTAAAACGTAACATGTAAACAAGCTAATGGGCCAAAGCAGAGTTAATGGGATGTTATCCATATCTGAACATGATTATAAAAAATGATATCACTGCTGGATTGGTTTCTACATCCAAACTCTCAGATGCAATGCTAGCTTATATTTAAAAGCTACACTGAAAAACTGGAAATTATCCAGTTACATTCGTTGATCTCAAAGCTTCTTTCTTTCTCTTATCCGATTGCACCATCTAGTGGCTGACAAGCATATCACACTCTTTCCGTTTTTTTTAACATGGTGACTTCACGTTTCTTTTTATAAATGTGCTTCTGTAGCCGACAAACAGCTAAAACGCGCTGTTTTATAAGTATTATTCTCATGTTATGTTGCGTTCTCGTATATTTATGTTTTAGAGACTTACTTGTATGTGAAAAGTTCATCAACTCTGCATCAGCTAAGGTATTCCTTAAATTTGAAACAAGTAAGCGGTAGTCTAACGCTATTGGTTAGTTCTGGTCGGCGCTCGGTTTCCTATTGCACAGAGCTCTGCGGGGCAGGGGGCATGCTTAGCAAAAAAAAAGACATATTGCTTACATTTTGTCACAGCACATGATGAGATAATCACTTTTACGGATTTCTGACAAATCATACATAATTTCTGAAAGGGGAAAACTCGGGAAAGCAGCTTTAACAATCAAGGATTATATGTAGAATGAATAAATGTTAAAATGCTCAGGCTGAAATGACCAGTTAGAAAAGTACTATTTGGAATGAATTTCTTTCCACAGTTGAAAAACGTGCTTTATTAGTAACAACCCAAGATGTGTCTTGATATTAAAGTGGGATTTCTTCAGTGATGAGTCAAACTGATCCAGGGGAACTGGTGGTGAGTCATCAGCTTTAAAGGGATTATTTGAAATAGATTTCTGGCTTTTATGTTGCAGACGGTTTATTGAACACCCAAAGATGGATTGCTTCTTTGGTGCTTCTTTTTTAGAGTGTAACATACCTTTTGGAATTTCAAGATATTGATATAATAAATAACCGCATTATGTGAAAGCAACAGCGCTGTGATGCTTTAAAATAGGCTTTGCTTGAACAAAAATGATGAGATGTTTAAAAGACAGAAGAAATTATTTTAAAAGGCATCCAATGCAACTTTTTCATGTTTTCAAATCATTTTCTTGAGCCAGTATGAGCTAAAATGAAAAGAAAGAAAGAAAGAAAACAATCGTTTATATAATGCCTCTAAAGATAAAAATCCCGAGGCGCTTCACAAAAACAAAACAAAACAAAACAAAAATTAAAGTTTAAAATGATTTCACAAAACAATTGAAAATTAGTTTAAAATGAGAAAATAATTAAATTGTGATAAACATAAGCAAGGAAAGGGAGACAGAAAATGAATAGGAAAGAGGGAAATGAGTGGATCCTGGAAAAGGCGGAATAAGAAAAGAATAAGAAGAGGGTGGTGACGAAGGTCACACAAAAGCCAGTTTGAACAGGTGAGTTTTCAGCTGCTTTTTAAAGGAGACCACTGAGTCCACTGATCACGCGGTTCTGGGGCTACAAAGAGGGGGTCCGCAGGCTGCCCGTTGAGTGCTGCAGCTGAAAAGGATTGTTTTAGCACATATTGGCTCACGAAAATTATTTAAAAATATGAAATAGTTGCATTGTATGGCTTTAAAAACAGACCCGGCTAAGACTTTGACCTGCTTGACCAGAATCTATTTTTCTCCAAAAAAAAAAAAAAAAAAAAAAAAACTACAGAGCTGCCAACTATCACGCATTGAGAGTGAGACACAAACATTTGACCTCCTTCATACGCTCTCACACCACATAAACCAACTTGAAAAAGATCCTAAATATCCCTTTATATTTACATTCATGAGATTACATGATAAAAGGCTGTCACGGTCGTACTAATGTTAAAACTCTTATCCTCACTCCCTCCTCACCTGTGCAATATTAATAATTTGATAATAAGAAAGTTTAAAGTCATCTAATTAAATTGTATGGCTCCCATGGTACACTAAAATAAAGACAAAATATCATCTGCAAAGAAAAGTGCAAAGAAAAGTGTTTCAGGTCAGTTCTTACATCCATTAACCCTTTGATGCAGGAATTATGAAATCTTCAACCATTATTTTGTTTAACAATTTTTTTCATTCGTCTTTAGGTGTGAATGAAACAAATTTCAACAAATATTTTTTGGAACATTAAATAATTTACTAACAATTTATTACATGTCCACCTCTGGACAGCATGCCTTCTGAACATGAAATGTGTTGGCTTGACTTACTGAAGTCCAAATGGAGGGGCTCAAATGCAATAAAGTCTTCAACAGCTGTGCTTAATAGCAAAATAATAGTAATAATAATAACAATTCTGAAACATCACCTTATCGTGGTGGAGGAGTTTGAGTGCCCTAATGATCCTAGGACCTATGTTGTCAGGGGCACTTAGTGCCCCTGGTAGGGTCTCCCATGACAAATTGGTCTTAGGTGAAGGGTGAGACAAAGAACGGTTCACAGGATCTTTCATGGATGTAAATTCAAAGATTTGTAGTACCCGGCCCGGAGGGTTACCGGGGTCCCACCCTGGAGCCAGGCCTGTGGTTGGGGCCTGTGAGCGAGCGCCTGGTGGCCGGGCTTTCGCCCATGGGGCCCGGCCGGGCCCAGCCCGAACCAGATACATGGGCTCATTCAACTGTGGAGCCACCACCCGCAGGAGGAACATGAAGGGTCCGGTGCAGTGTGGATGGGGTGGCAGACCAAGGCGGGAGCCTTGGCAGTCCGATCCCCAGACAAGAAAACTGGTTTTTGGGACATGGAACGTCACCTCACTGGCGGGGAAGGAGCAGGAGCTTGTGGCAGAGGTTGAGCGGTACCGGCTAGATATAGTCGGACTCACCGCGTTACATATCATTGGCTCTGGAACCCAAGTCCTTGAGAGGGGGTGGACACTCTCCTTTGCTGCAGTTGCTCCAGGTGAGAGGTGGAGGGCTGGGGTTGGCTTTTTGTTAGCCCCAAGACTCTCTGCCTGTGTGTTGGGGTTTACCCCGGGGGACGAGAGGGTAGCTTCCCTGCGCCTTCGGGTCGGGGAACGGGTCCTGACTGTTGTTTGTGCTTATGGGCCAAATATCAGTTCAGAGTACCCACCCTTTTTGGAGTCCCTGGGACGAGTGCTAGATAGTGCTCCATCAGGGGACTCCATTGTCCTGCTGGGGGACTTCAATGCTCACGTGGGCAATGACAGCTTGACCTGGAGGGGTGTGATTGGGAGGAACGGCCCGCCTGATCTGAAATCAAGTGGTGTTTCGTTATTGGACTTCTGTGCAAGCCACAGTTTGGCCATAACGAACACCATGTTCGAACATAAGGATGCCCACCGGTACACTTGGTACCAGGGCAGCCTAGGTCACAGGTCGATGATAGACTTTGTAGTCGTATCATCTGACCTGCGGCCGTATGTTTTGGACACCCGAGTGAAGAGAGGAGTGGAGCTGTCAACTGATCACCACCTGGTGGGGAGTTGGATCAGATGGCAGGGGAAGATGCCACGTAGACCTGGCAGACCCAATCGCATAGTGAGGGTCTGCTGGGAACGCTTGGTAGAAGAACCTGTCAAGACGGTCTTCAACTCCCACCTCCGGCAGAGCTTTGACCACGTCCTGAGAGCAGTGGGTGACATCGACTCTGAGTAGGCTTTGTTTCACTGTGCGATTGTTGAGGCAGCTGTTGCTAGTTGTGGTCGCAAGGTGGGCAGTGCCAGTCGTGGTGGTAGCCCCCGTACCCGCTGGTGGACACCAGAGGTTCGGGGAGCCGTCAGGCTGAAGAAGGAGGCCTACAGAGCGTGGCTGGTCTGTGGGTCTCCGGAGGCACCAGACAGGTACCGGATAGCCAAGCGGGGTGCAGCAGTGGCAGTTGCCAAGGCAAAATCTCAGGCGTGGGAGGAGTTTGGTGAGGCCATGGAGGAAGACTATCGATCGGCTCCAAAGAGGTTCTGGCAAACTGTCCGGAGCCTCAGGAGAGGAAGGAAGCAACTCACTCACACTTTTTACAGTGGGGATGGGGAGCTGCTGACGTCAACTGGGGCTATAGTCGGATGGTGGAAGGAATACTTTGAGGAGCTCCTCAATCCCACCTATCCGCATTCCGAGGAGGAACCAGAGCCGGGAGACCTTGGGATGGACTGTCCAATCTCGGGGGCAGAAGTTGCTGAGGCAGTCAAACAACTACACAGCGGCGTAGCCCCGGGGGCGGATGAGGTTCGTCCTGGGTATCTCAAGGCTATGGATGTTGTAGGGCTGTCATGGTTGGCACGTCTCTGCAACATTGCGTGGTCATCGGGGGCAGTTCCTGTGGAGTGGCAGACCGGGGTGGCGGTCCCCATCTTTAAGAAGGGTGACCTGAGGGTGTGTTCTTGTGGGCATTTTCTGTTATTCTTAAAGAAGGAGTCGGAGACGGAGTTCTCAGCCAGACAGCGCGGGTCTCTTTATTAATTCATCTCACAGCTCAGGACAGCCAAAGACCCAAAGACAATCACGAGTGGTTCCCTTTTTATAGCCCCCACTCTTTGAACATTCCAGCTCACAGTCAACAGACGAGAACCAGACCATATT